ACGAAGGTACAGGATAGTTCTAGAAACGTGGCGTGACACTAGTCATGTGACCTCGCTGACGCAACAGTATATTTAATACATGTGGTAGTCTGCTGGCCTCTAAGTCATTGTTCCGTACAGTATGTTTCATACATCTGGGAATCTGCTCTTCCATACAGTATGTTACATACTAACTTTGATCGCGTGTTCGTATAGTTGGTTGTTGTATATAATGTATTACTCTCCTTAATCTTAAAAAGTTAGTTTTATTATTATGGTGATCTCATCAAATATATGTTTGCGGTAAGTTATTTTTTTAAAAAGCAAATGCTAATCAAGTAGTCACATTGCCATTAGATACACATGAGAGACCATATGTTAAGTTTTTAACCAATAATCGACAGTTACTTTGTTCCTTGGAGTTCATGTTCATAATGTAAATAGCGTCTCAACTACTTCTATGTCTGTAGTATCCCAGCAGGCCTGGCGAGACCCGATATGTTGCGAAATGCCTTTTCGGCTCTGGATATAATAGCCAAAGTGTGGTAGACATCCATTCCTCTCTCCTTTTAATCATGTTATTAGAATTTAAACTTTTATTTGGCATATTGGAGCTTTTCTGAGTTTTGCCTGACTTACATACGAAAGAGATCGGTACATGATACGTGACTTCACATTCCACGTCACATATATTACCACTCACATATACTACCACATCTATATTAAAATTTTGATGTTATTATTAAGACTTTTGGATTAATTTCAACGAACGTTTCAATTACATATGCTTCATTAAAACATTTTGATCAGCAAATTTCCGTTTGGAGTTTATCGATCACAAACTGTAATCCTGTTTTACAGACTCGCGATTTAATTAATGTTTTATGCAACAGAGCTTTATATAACATTGTTGTGATTCGTTAAGTAACACAGTTGCATAAAATGATGTTTTATTAAGTGTATTTGTAACACACTTATCTAGGTGAAGATTTTATTAACCGTCTATGTTACATTGCTAGATGTCATTATTTTCTACACAGCTGTCTGTCCCTTCTCTATAAAAAACTATAATTGTTATCTCACATGCACCAACTAAACGATTATCTTACCACTCTTTGTTATCCATCAGCCTTTTCTTTGAGAAAGACTGCATATTGTTATCCTACATACACCATGTAAACAATCATCAGTTAGCACTCTTTGTTATCGGTCACCCTTTCCTGTGTGAAAGACTGCATATTGTTATCCCACGATGTACGAACTAAACACTTCTTAGTTATTACTCTTTGTTACTAAACTAGCTTCCCGTTAAACGAATTGTACCTACGTCAACTCGTAATTAACTCGTTCATCGTGAACCCTCGATAAGATATCGAAGAAGTTCCAGACTAGAAAGAAGACTTTATATTACTTGTAAGTTTGTGAACCTTTTATTTATAAATCATTGTTTGTAATAACTGTTATTGTAAATTGTATTGTTTTGTTTATATTAAAACGTATTTGTGTTAAAAAAAGAAAACTGTATGTCAATCTTGTTGGCAAATATCATAAACTGACTATATATCGGCTTTTACTTAACTGCTAATTCCAAAATACAATTAAACTACTAAATTTAAGTTATCAATTAACTCAATTTCAGGGTATTTGAAATTGTAATACGTAACATTATATAAATACTGGCGTATCGTTACTAAACAGAATACCAACGAAAATACTATTTTATGTGAAAAGTATATCGCACTTTGAGGCTATACTCATCTCATGGACGCCCGCAGAGGGGGCGGTGGGAGGGATAAGAAACATAACTCTTTCTTTAATCATTCAGCATATGTATATACATTTTTTTATTCAATTCACAATTTCACACTACTTTGCCCCTCCCTGGAAAAATTTCTGCGGACGCCCATGGTTATACTGTCATCTCTCCTACATGCCTTCAGCTAAAGATTTGGACTTTGGACGCGTGCGAGGAACATTAAAAGTAATTTACAGACTGGCTATTCCTAACATTGAACATCTGTTACTAAGTATATTGGCCAGTACCATCTGAGTTTTAGAACTATAGATTAAGATTGGACGTGAATAAGTCATAGTCTGGTAATCTGTCTCACATGAGTGATGTAAGCATCGATATATTTAGTTGCTGTCTTTAGTTAGATTAAACTCGACTAGTCATACTTATTTGTAAGTTCGTATGGTGTAGGTTTCAGCAATTCTAGAGTATGCCTAGGACCATGTGTTGTTTGTCAGCGATTGTTCGGTGTTTTATACTACCAGTTTTCTAATACTTTTCCAGAGGCGCAGGAGCAACAACAAAAAAACGTCATTGTTAGGCGATACTTTTAAACAGTATTTCAGCATTTAAACTTTTATAAGCAATGTTGGAATTTAGTCGTGATTTTTTAAAGTTAAGTACTAGCTTTAAATTAATATATTTTGTCATTAAATTTTACATTTTTTTATTATTGTTGCCTTAGTTTTGAATAGCTGTGTGTGTTTTTTATAATAAAACCACATCGGGCTATATGCTGTGCCCATAGAAGGTAATCGAACCCCTGATTTTAGCGTTGTAAATCTGTAGACTTACCGCTGTCCCACTACCTGGTATAGTTGAACGTTAGTTTTGAAAATATTTATATGTTTTAACATTTAATTTCGATTAGTTTATTTTGGATATTCGCGCAAAGCTAATCAAGAACGATGTATGCTGTTACGTATTAGAATTTCAAATGGTCTGTAACCGAATTAAGTGATAATTTAAATTTAGTAGTTTAATTGTACTTTGGATTTAGCAATTAAGTAAAAGCCGAACTATAGTCAGTTTATGATGCTTGCCAACAAGACTGATACACACACTTTTCTTTTTTAACACAAATACGTTTTAATATACACACAACTATAGTACAAATAGTTATTAAAAATAATAATTTATAAACAAACGTTTCACAAACATGCAAGCAATATAAAGTCTTCTTTCTAGTCTGGAACTTCCTTGAAATCTTATCGAGGGTTCACGATGAGTGAGTTAATTACGAGTTGATGTAGGTACGATTCGCTTAACAGGGAGCTAGCTAGTCTTCACTGTTCATACGCCTATTAGAGATTCAGTTTCCACCGATGACGTCAGGTAATGTTTTCGTCAAAGTATTAATGTCCGATGTGAATCCACTGAAATTAAATGGTTTGTAATGTTCGAACTTTGTAAAGTTTTCCGATTGGTAAGTGTTATAACAATCACAGTTATATCTTCCGAAGTTTATAGTACACTGACTATAGCAAACTAATAATAGATACTCTCCCTTTTGGCGCGGCGCGTTGGTTATATTTATTGGCGTGTGGAGGTTTTCTAGAAATTTCAGATTATGTAACAATACAAATTTAAGTGTTTACGTACACACATATATTGTTGATTCTTTCTCTTGAGAATCGTCTACAACTTTGGAGAATAAGCGGGAGTTTCGCAATACATATTGAACACTATAAGTTACGCATGTTTTAAAATATAAACTTAATCTAAACAAACGTTGATATTAAACTAAATATGTAATAACAAATTCGTTACAATGCTAACTGTTCCTAATTTTGAACTGATAAGACTAAAGGGAAGACAGACATAAACACTCAACGCCAATTCTTGTGCCACTCAAATCAGATAGTGATATTTGACTGTCGCCTTTGTAACACACCAAAAGTGCAGAACGCGAACCATGGACCCTCGGACTTATAGTCCGGTACGACAGTCATTAGGTTACGTTCGGCTCTCTAATTTTGAAACAAACAGTTTTATAAAGGTTTTAATTTCAAAGAAACATCACAGAAATTGTTCACATTAGATTTAAAAATAGTACCTATTAATTATAAACTTTTACGTTTTACACAATTACTATTTTAATCACAAGTAATTATGTATATCAAAAAATTAAAATGAGTCTATCTTAATGCTTGTTCAGAAGCACTATGAGGATCATAAGTTCTACTTAGAAAAGTCTGGACATGGTACAGGGTGTTTCAAAGAACTTCCTGTTATGTCATTTATCAGTGTATCAAGTTCATTCTAAATGAAGCTAATTCAAGCCTCATATGTTCTGTACATGATGGTCATTATACTCAACTCACCAGTCTTGTGTTACTCAAAGAGAGAAGAGAAATAAAAGATGTGATAGCCTGCAAAAAAAAAATTTAGATGTCCATTATGTTATGGTTTTTAAACATGTATAAACTTTCCTGAGTAAAACTTGTGTTTACCGATGTGCTTTTGGTGAACTTTAACGTATCCAAGAAAAATATGTTTTAAAATATGATACTTTTAATTGAGTTCTTCATCATAATAACCTTACACATATATATATATATATTATGTATACCTTTATTTTACACAAACATTCCTTTAACCTTAGACGCTTAATTTTACACAAACACTGCTTTAGTTTTAGACCCTTAATCTTACTCATAGATTCCATATTGATTTCAGGCTTAAGCTTACACAAACACTCCTTTTTAAACTATCGACTTTAGTTTTACACAAACACTGCTTTAATTATCAACTTTGGTTTTACACAAACACTCCTTTAATTATAGTACTTAGTTTTACACATCAAAATGGTATATAATTTGTTATATAGAAACGACCCCTTATTTCTATACCTTAATTTGAAAGAACTATTCTGTATTTTAGCGTTTTAGTTTGAATTAAAATATCTCGAGACATACAGATTGGGCCAACGAAAGAAGACGAAAGAAAATAGCACAACAAACATTTTTTTTGTGACGAAGCTGTGTTCGTATCATCTCTGAATCAGTTGAACGTTATAAAAACTAATTTATCTACCACCTTCGTCAGTACAGGTGTGGCATCTAGAGACACTACATGCACGCTTTTTTACAGAGGTCTGGAACTAAGAGTATGAAATACAGAGCTTGTTTGTTGGCAAAGAAGATATTGAAATTATTTGCCTAATTCGAGAAGATGTTGAAATTATGTGCCTTTATTTCGTATGCTTGATCACATAAATATCCCCATTGCGAAAAAGTCTCAAGAAATATAAACGAATTAGTATATTTGTTAGGGGTGGGGTTCGCTACCCCCACCCTACACTTCATGCGGTAACTACTAGTTTGTTTGAGTATACTGCATAATTTGTGTTTAAATTAATTCTGACGAACTTTCTAAGATAGTGACTTTTATGCAGTCCCTTGTAGTTTTATAGCTTGAGCTAAGATGGGTTATATGGTTAGGGACACAAATAACTCAAAATTAGAAAGAGGTACAGCGTATGCTTTTTACTCTCTGTGACTCAATATTATTGATGTTGGAATGTCAGGGAGAGAACCTCTTGTTAATGAAAAAATGAGGGTTATTCTCCCCTTGCAAAATCCTGTCTATGTAATTAATGTTTGCGCGGTGTTTTTGTTTATATATAAACCTAGCCTCGTGACCTATCTATAAATACAGAAAATTTCATTTGTAGTGCTATGCTAAAAAGTTTTGATCTAAGTACAACAAATATTCTATCGAGTGGTTACTTCGTCAAATCATTTCCCTGTATCTGTTGACTGGTTGAAACTAATTTTCTACTGTCTGTCCATGTTAAAGAAAGAAAGAAAAACAAGATGCAGCGTTTGACTTTTTAAAGCAATTAAGAAATCAATCCCTGCTATACAATTACTGAAAGACCATTCGTCAAATCAACAGTGTTTACAGACGACGTTGGTTCCAGTTCCTTTACTACAAGGCGTTTAATCCGGGGTTTAAAACTGTTCTCAAACACCCGACTCCCGAGCCACGAATTCGTCGATGAACATTAATTGACCTTTATCTAAGAGTTCCTTGTGTATTAGCGGTCTCTGGTATTTTTCACTTGAACTATCAAAACCTGTAACACTAACGATTTTTTAGTTTTATTTTAGTTTGGTGTGTGTGCGTGCGAAAAAACAGAAAGATTGGCAAGCAAAATATTTATTAAATCTTCCAGTGTAAACAACTTGATTACTACCAAACATTTTTTTTGTATTTAACAATAACAGCGTTATCAGTTAAATATAACTATTTTTCTCTTCCTATTTGTTTTCATGTAGATTGTTAGTTAGGCCCTTCATCAGTTAATTCACGATGTAAAGCTAGAGTTTAAGAAAAATATTACAAGATTGTGCTATATGTGTGTGTATATCAAGTTCAAGAATCGGGATTTAACAACAACAACCATTAGAACGCTCGTCTTCATCAGATATTTGTTCTTTGAGAGGTTAACAAACAAGTCATTCTCGATCTATCCAAACAAAATCAATCGTATAGGATGTCGGCAAAAATGAACTGCTAGAATTGAACTGTTCCAACGATTTTTTTATTTGATTTTTTTAGCTTCAAGAAATTGTTTTCCTTTTGTTAGGAGACCTTATGATCCACTTTGTTTTAGCGGTTAGCTTGCTTTCTCCCCAGGGTTTAGTTTGGGAGACCTTATGATCCACTTTGTTTTAGCGGTTAGCTTGCTTTCTCCCCAGGGTTTAGTTTGGGAGACCTTATGATCCACTTTGTTTTAGCGGTTAGCTTGCTTTCACCCCAGGGTTTAGTTTGGTTAAAGGAACTACAAAATATATAGATAATAACAAAGAGACATGTTATTTTTTTTAAACTGATCTTGTAAATCTTAAAATTAATTTCAGCGATATGAAATATGAGCTAGTATTTTTCCATGGCTTCGCGAAAGGAGTCTAGCAATGCATTTTGTTTGTTTGTTTGTATTTTTACCTTCGGAACAGTAGGCCCCAAAGAAATTTTCCCGCCCTCGCTTTATCTAGTATTTCTGGAAAATGTCACATCTTTGAGCTTAATGAAAAGAAATTCGTTCAAATACTTCCTTCAATTTGTGCATTAAGTTAACAAAATGAGATGAAGAGTTTCACATGGAGTTCCAAAGTAACATGAACCGAAAGTGGATTTTTCTAACATGTCAGCGTGATATGTTATATTTTTTATGTGTGTTTGAGAAACTAAGATATTGTTTCAGTAGCAATATTTTAGAAAATAAACTAATACGATAAAGAAACCCAAAGTTGACAAGTATTAAGTTATTACCTTAAAACTGGTATTCAAACATTACAGTCTGAAACTCTTCAAATTGTTCAGGGCTAATAAGCTTTTTATTTACTTCTTTGTATTAACATGACTAAAACTTTAGATTAATATGTCAGGGATCTCACATAAACATCAGGAAGCGGTATAAATTACATGATAAGGTACCATAGACTGGTTCATGTTTAGTAGCCTTTAAACTCATAGTCACAATCCAAGGTTATTCATTTTTATGTTTCAATCACAACTTACCTAAATTACTGAGCTCCAAATCGACAGTATAATCAGAATTTCTCGGAAATCGTTTTTCTTTGGCTAAGATTTTTCAACAGCCACAACCCCAAAGTGCAGAACACGTTTTTGTAGCAACGGGATGCGAACCATGAACTATCGTATTTAGAATTCGTGCATGCTAAATGTTAAGCCACACCCAGCTCCTTTATACAAAGTGGGCAATCGTATCAATCTATAAAACAGGAAACTGTACATATACATACACACACACACCAAACTCTTCAGTACTTAATCTGTTTCTAGGCAAATATACAGCTTCGATCCTACTGGAAAGAATATTTTTTTTAATTTATTTGTATTAACAGGACTGAAATTTTATAATAATATTTCAGAGATTTTACATATTCTTTGAGAAACGGTAGATTACATAGAAGTAGCACAAACTCATTTATGTTTAGAAATCATAACCCCAATGATTATTCATGTCATACTATTATATTGAGCACACACACCGATATGTGTAGAAGAGTAATTTTGTAGCATATTATTTAGCCAGTAGTCTGTCATGGTTACCCCCCTATGTTACGTGGCTCCCAGTTGCTCAGCGGTAAGCCTGTGGACTCATAACATTTAAAATCCGGGTTTAGTACTCGCGGATCGCACAGTACAGACATCCCATTGCAACAAAACAAACAAACCCAATGTTACAGGACTATCATATTTTGTAAGAGTGTGTGTTTCTTTTACAGCAAAGCTACATGGCTATCTGCTGTGTACACCGCGGGAAATCGAACCCCGGATTTTAGTGTTGTAAGTTCATAAAGTTAACTACTGCCCCTCCGGGGGATCAATTAAAAGGATCATCGATCATGTGGAATTACAACTTGCGATTGTCAATATCGTCTTTATTTTAAATGTACATTAATACTCGAGTCCAACGAATCAAAACTTATTTGACAGTGAAAAATGCAGTCGAATCACTCCCTGTCGAAATGGGTTTTAAAGTTGGGTTTTGCAATGTAACAATAAAGAAAGATGAAAACAAATAAAATTTATTGTTTTTCCACTTACCCAGTGGTCCTAACTATTGCTTAGTCTAACGTGAAAAGTGTATTTTGCGTTATTAATCTTACAAAGCATTTGATTTAACCAGTAAAGTTGTGTAAAGCTAGATAACAACGAACATTTCGTGTTTTTGCAGCTTGTCCTCCTGAAACCTACAGGTCGTCTCTTAGCGACGAAAGATGTGTCAAATGTCCGTTGCATAGTGCTGCTCTCTATGAAGGATCTATCGAATGTAGTTGTGACGATGGCTATTATCGAGCTCCAACAGAGTCAGTTAATGTCCCTTGTTCTCGTAAGTATTTGTAATATTTGACGTTTCCAATATTTAAAAACATTCACAGAAAATTACATTTATTGTTTTCTCAGGAACTCAACTTAATCGAATTAAATAGTTGTATTAAATTATTATTTTTATTATTATTATAGCTCATTTGTTTATGGTTTGTAAAACATATGTAGATCAGTGGCGTGGGAAGCTGGGGGGGGGCAGTCCCCACGTTTCAATCTTTCCCCATAAAATGCATCATAATTAGGAAACTTACTCTCAGGAAAAGCGGGAGAACGCTTAAAATTTATCCAGAACCCAAGAGCTTCCAGGGCTCTAAATCGAGCCCAAGCTCCTGGCTTCACTAGGTCAAATAATCCTTGCTCTCCATTTTTAATTTGCCTCCTACACCTCTGAGGATCAAAATAGTTACTTTTCTAGCTTCATATTCTTATAACTGTTGCTGTAATAATAACAATAAAAAGTGTTTTCTTTTTGTTCTGATAGTGGTATGCAGACATACCATTCGTTTTTTACCAACTTATGTTAATGTAGAAAATTTTTACAAATTTCCTTTTGCCTAATTCTTTGAGGCTTCCACACAAGCACGTGGCCAAGAAAACCGTTGATTTATTTTTATTTCAGCCCGGCATGGCCAGATGGTTAGGGAGCTCGACTCGCAAACATGCTTGGCCTTTCAGCCGTGGGGGCGTTATAAAGCGACGGTCAATCCCACTATTCGTTGGTAAAAGAGTAGCCCAAGAGTTGGCGGTGGGTGGTGATGACTAGCTGCCTTCCCTCTAGTCTTACACTGCTAAATTAAGGACGGCTAGCGCAGATAGTCCTCGTGTAGCTTTGCGCGAAATTCAAAACAAACAATTTTTATTCTACTCACCTTTGTTCCTTTGTTATTCTACAGTAGATAATATCTGCTCCATCCGCGAAAATACTGCTGAAACGTCCCAAATTATGCAAAACACGTCAACGACATCAATATCCTTTACTGGCCGAATACATTATAGTTAGGGATTAAGGATTTTACTATGTTGTATGAGAACTACCAGTCACGTGAGAATGTTGGTCATTACGGAAAAATTCGACGTTTTCTGTTGAATTGACACAGCACAACATGGTTTTCAACATGATTCCGTCGACGGAAAGATATCTTGAGAGACAACAACTGTTGATTGACTCACAGATTCGATAGGAAACTACAGTCTAGTATCTACACGAGTACACACATTGGGGTTTGTGCTTTGTTTTATATTTTACATCACGTGTGCAGTCTATATATATACTCGGTTTTAGCTGAATTCTGATTTTCTTTGTGATATTTCTGATAGATCATCTAACTTATATAAAAGCCAGTGTGTGTCACGTCACGCTTGATTTATTTTGATTTCTCGAAATAGGAAGAGTAATAAAAGCCAAAATGCATTTATCTAGATAGAATAGTTCGATTACTGTCTGCAGATTATGATTTTAGTGACGGAGATGCAAGGAGGGGCGTGAGGGGAGGTGACGTGAAACCTTATAAGTGTAGTGAGTGTTGGTATAATAAGCCTAAAGTAAATATGTAGTTTGAGATCACCTAGCCTAGATCCAAGTGCATAAAACTTATCAGGAAAGTAAAAATATCGATTCAATTGTAACCTTAAATCGTTTCTGAATTAAGCTATTTTCTGTTATAATAAAAAACAAACCTCTTTAATCAACGAAGACACTACAGTAAGAAATCAACAAATATTTTTCCAGATTTGTTATCTATACATTTCATTATATACTTTCAGTACATAGACTTGCAACATGTTATAGTATAGCTTTTGTTGCTAAGCAACATGACCTAAAAGCCATTTTTGGAATGTAGTGTTACCAAAACGTACTGGCTTTTCTATATATTAGAAATTGTTAATCTAATTGGTCTTTATTAATAATTATTCTGTGAAAACGCCACGAATTCGTTTCACGAATGATCTTAATTTTGATTGGCTCACAAAGGAAGTTACCGAAGTTTGACTGCCTCGACTGCCCTTTTCTGCCTCTTTGCTAGTCAAACTTGATTTCGCAAAATTTATTTATTTCAGTTAGGTATGAAATGTGAGGTTAGGGTATAGTATGGGGTAGTACTTGCCCCGTCATTTTTGACGGGCTATACGATAGTCCTGTTATAAAGACGGCTTATCTAATACTCGTGTGGAAATCAGTTTCACCTTAGAACACAACACATTTATGAAATTGGAGAGCGAGGCGATCTTCTTGTGTTAGGTAACTAACAGTTATACTAAAAGAACACTGTTTAATAATATTTAAGCCCCCTTTCGATTCAAAATATATTTTCAGGCTAACTCCAGGTTATACGTTTTTTGCTGCACGTTTTTAAGTTCACTCGTTAGCTTGTGTAAAGTTGAATGGAAAACTTATTTAAATATTTTGTTTAAAAATAACCCGAATTTAAGTGTGTGGTGTGAGCTTATAAATATATTTTCTTTGGTGATATGCATAAAATGCTCTGAAGACATGTATAATAAAATACATTAATTATTAAAATTCAAGTACATTTTCATGCCTGTTTTTACATAATGAACATCTTCACACTTAAAAGTTAGGTTTAAATAATGTTTATAAAAGAAAACCTAAGACAGTACATGTACTAAACCTTTATCAAGGTAGCGTTCCATTGTTCCCAGTTTATGTATTAACTAAAATAACCACCTGGAGATTGTTGCCAGACAATACGATATTTCAAGTTGTCTCAGTTAGGTACCGGTACTTTGTTCATATACAGTATAGAAAGAATATTTTTCTCATGATATCCATGCATATATTAAACTCGATCTGTTTCAGTTGGGTACCTTTACAATATTTCTTAATTTGATACCACTACATTGTTTACATATATTAAACTCGATCTGTTTCAGTTGGGTACCTTTACAATATTTCTTAATTTGATACTACTACATTGTTTACATATATTAAACTCGATCTGTTTCAGTTGGGTACCTTTACAATATTTCTTAATTTGATACCACTACATTGTTTACATATATTAAACTCGATCTGTTTCAGTTGGGTACCTTTACAATATTTCTTAATTTGATACCACTACGTTGTTTACATATATTAAACTCGATCTGTTTCAGTTGGGTACCTTTACAATATTTCTTAATTTGATTCCACTACATTGTTTACATATATTAAACTCGATCTGTTTCAGTTGGGTACCTTTACAATATTTCTTAATTTGATACCACTACATTGTTTACATATATTAAACTCGATCTGTTTCAGTTGGGTACCTTTACAATATTTCTTAGTTTGATACCACTACATTGTTTACATATATTAAACTCGATCTGTTTCAGTTTGGTACCTCTACAATATTTTCAGACATTAAACCCAATCTTTCACAAATGGATACTACTTCATTATTATTCGTTAATATAAGTAAATATATCTGAGTTGTGTACTACTATATTGTTATCAGATACTATAACTCAATAAAACTTACGGCTTTTGCTGTGTCTCAGAAACTTTATTTCCTTCAAGGACGAGTATAGTTTTTAAGACAATAATTTTGAACGGGGAGTTTTCTTTGTAATAATCCTACAAACGGGGGTACAAGTTACCAGCATTTCTGTTCGTAACAGGCTTATGTTTTTATAAATAAGAAGTTTGTTGATTTTTCGTTTATTATCACCTTTTCTTCTATATTTGAGATCACTCACCATTCTTAATTATGATTAAACTTTACAAAATGTCCAAAAACATGCGGAGGTGAGGGTAAAGTGGTCTTTAAACTAACAGATAAGCGCCAAATGGATTCATTTATTGAAAAACACAACGTTTACAAACAATCTTAACGCAGACCCTGCAGCCAGTGAATGTTTTTGACACCTTAGACCAGGTGTGAAACAGTAAACTCCTAAGTCGTCTTTCAACAATTTTGCAGCACAGAACCAAGCTTCTTTAATATCACTGAAAAATTCTGGAATAAAGTGCAATGAATAGAAACATTAACATTAAAAATGAAAAGAACACGTGTTTTTTTTTTTGTTTGTTTGTTTTAGTTTAAAATAAATCTGAAACACACTCACGGTAGCCATTTACAAACAGGAAACGCGGCTTTATTCTATCAACGTCATTAAGTAATTTTAGAACAACTCCCATCACTTACAACACAGTTTGAACTTTTCTCTTACATAGAACTTTCATCAGCTCCAAGGAACCTCTCAGTCAGCTTTGTTGACCAATCAACGGTCATTCTGACTTGGCAACCACCTTTATATTCCGGAGGTCGGAACGACACTACGTTTCGGGTGGTATGTGATGAGTGTTCTAATGCTGTAACGTATGCGCCTTCTCGTATGGGTTTCAGAGAAACCAAAGTCACCATCTCAGGTTTAAAACCTGCAACGACCTACACATTCCAAATATATGCTGAAAATGGTGTGTCTAGCTACAAGGAAAGTCAGTTTGTGGATACGACGGTTACAACAGCAGCTTCAGGTAGGCAATATAATTAAAATGTAGTAAACTATGTATGTGTTATATATTATTGTACTATAGTCTATATAATATTGTTATTAATATAAGTGGTCAGTTATCTAAATTTATCTTCTTGCATTAAAAAATGAAACAGTTAACTATTAATACCAGTATATATCGAAAGAATAAAAATCCTATAACCCCAGCGCTTTTGAAAGGTGGACCTTTCTTCTTCAGGGGCAAACTGGGAATGTATCATCAGAGTCGTTATAAACCATCTTTTACATCAAATGCAAAAGCTTGTAATGAGTTACTTCGTGAACTGAGGCTTCACATATGTAAACAGCCTTAATTTACGTTAAACCTAAAGACTTCTGAACTAATCACTAACAGTTTTAGTTTGTTTTTTGTTAAGCACAAAGCTACACAATCTGTTGTCAGTGCTGTTCCCACAGCGAATATCAAAACCTGGTTTTAAGTATTATAAGCCCACAGAGTTACTGCTGAGTCATCTGGGGGCACTCAGTGAAGTATTTACAATCCCAACTGAAATTTCCCTCTAGCGGTAAGTTTAGGGACTTGTTAAAATCTGGAAATTTGATTACTCGCAGTGGACTGAACACAGATAGCTCATTATGTAGCCTTGCGCTAAAAGTACAACAACATAAGTGACGTAGACTGTTGCCTAGTGGTAATCGCTCCTGGGATATAAATATGAGGGTTCATGGTTTGCATCCCCAAGCTGCCAAAATGCGCTCTGCACCTAAGGACTATGGGTTCACTCTACGAGTGACGGCCGAGCTACATTAGTTGGTCAAATAAGAGTAGCCAAATAGTTTATGGTGGGCGCTACTGATTGCTGTCACCCATGTTCTGTCAGCTGAAAATTAGGGATGGCTATTTATTAAATATAATAAAGGTAGTGAAAATACGATAGCAATAGCAACAACATTCCTAACTACACCAACACAGTTACGGCTTACATATATATATGCAAATAATTATAATAATATAAGTTATAAGTAAAAAAATATAGAATTTTAGTAACTAAACTTACAGTCTTCAACTGAATACCCTCGCTGTTAAGCCTAGAACTGTAAGTTTAACAATATTTTTGACCTTAAAGTGAGTAGCTTCTTGCAAGTTTGGTCTGCTTAAAAAATAGTTTAGACTTAACTATGTTACTAAATTAAGTCTAATTGCTGATGTAAAATAAATTTATTGGATGTTATTTGTCCTATCTTGAACTCATAAGTACAGCTTGATGTGCATGATTTAGTTCTTTAAAATTCAGCTTGATAGGTGTCTTTATAAGTAAATGATGCCCAAGATCTTTCTCCGCTTCATTCCTTTGTTTATAAATGTTACACATTTCAGTGTTCATTCATAGAGCTTACGTAAATGTGAACCTATTTCTGTGGGATCTTACTCATTTAAATGAGTGATACAAGTTGAGGTTGATCTCCTTTAGTATATTTATTTGTAATAATTATTGATGTACGATACCACACTAAGACATTATTCGACCAAAAATCTGAGGAATCTCCACAACTCGCTCACTTTGACTTGCTCTCTTGTCTAAATTTACATCTGGTCTTGTACATATATTGAGAAAGCTTTTTCTGCTGTGCCAGAAGTCAGTAAAAAGTCACAAAAAAGAAATCAGAAACCAACCAGTAAAACCCGATATAAACAGTGTATGTGAATAAAGCAGTTTGTTTCTCTCATTTACATTTATCACTTGTTTTCATTTGCTCTCCGTATTTGATAATAGTTCCTGAACCTATTGTATTGTGGATACTTTTAGCTACCTTTTGGAGTTACCACAAGCTATATCAATATGGTATGTGACCAAAGGTAGTGTATGGGTGTTAAAACACTTATAGTGTACCAGTACAAGGCACACCATAATAGTGTATTGGTACAATGTACATAATATAATGCATACTTTCAAAATTTAATGATTCTGTTCTATGTATTTTGTGGTCTGATATTTTAAAACATCACTGGTTGTCCTATGGGTTTCCAAAAGTAAAATTTTTGTAACAACAGCCCATTCTGTTTGAGTTGGATTAATCTGCAACTTACTAAATTGGAATTTAAAAAAATTAAATGTCGTTTTCTACAGTGTTAATGTCTTCTAGAAAACTGTGTACTTTGTATATTTTACGGTAACACTGACTCTAGATTTGGTGTGTAGTTTGTATATTTTACGGTAACACTGACTCTAGATTTGGTGTGTACTTTGTATATTTTACGGTAACACTGACTCTAGATTTGGTGTGTACTTTGTATATTTTACGATAACACTGACTCTAGATTTGAACTCTTATCCAGCTTATCATATCTCCACCGAAGTATCCCTTGTCATCAATAATGTTAGGGTCATAGATGTAAAAAGTACAGCTATTGTCTTAGTCTGGAATCCTCTTGAGGCTTCATCCCCTCCCACAGAGCTGTACGAAATCCGCTACTTCAAACGTGGAGAGGAAAGCAACTCATCCAGGGGTTTGACCAAGATCCCAGAGTTTGCAGTGACTGGGTTAAATCGTAAGACTGAATATGGATTTCAGGTGTGTGGATAAGTCATAAGACCAAATAATAATTTTAGGTTTTGAATGAATAAGAAGACTGAGCATAGGTTTTGTGTATATATGTCAAATCATGACACAGTATGGAATTCAAGTAGATGGGTAAAATTATGGACTTTTTTTTATTCCAGCTGCGTGGGTTGAATTATTAGACTGAATGTGGATTTCTGAAGTTTGCTAACACAATAAGATTCACTTGTATACAGTGCAGTAGGTAACTAATGCCAAGCTTCAGTGAAG